TGATGATCTTCTCAAAGAGTTTCCCTAGGATTGAGGTAAGACTGAAGGGCCTATAGTTGCCCAGGTCCTCCCTCCTCCCTTTTTTAAACATGGGGACCACATTGGCTATCTTCCAATCATCTGGCACCTGGCCCGAGCACCATGAACGCTCGTAAAGCCGTGCCAAGGGCCCTGAAATAACCCCTGCTAGCTCCCTCAACACCCTGGGGTGGAGAGCATCTGGACCTGCTGATTTGAACACGTCCAGCCCCTCCAGAAGCTCTCTAACCCGGTCCTCCCCAACCTGAGGTCTGGAGGCGTTCCCCTCGAGTCCGTCTTGCGTCATGGTGGGGAAGTCCCGGTTCCTGGACAAGAAAATGGAGGTGAAGAATTGGTTAAAGAGGTCTGCTTTCTCCTCTGGCACAACCACCAGATTGCCCAGAGGATCTTGCAGGGGCCCCACATATCCCTGTGCTTTCTTCATCCTCCCTACATAGTTGAAAAAGGACTTTTTGTTATCTTTGATTTTGGACGCAAGTCCTAGCTCTAAGTCTGCCTTAGCTTTCCTGACAGCCCCCCTACAGGCCTGAGCAGAGGAGGTATACTCCTCTTTGGAGATGGCACCCCCCTTCCACCGGTTGTATGCCGCCTTTTTGGCAATCGGGCATTCCCATACACCCTTGGTGAGCCAGGGGGGCTTACGGGCACTCCTGCCCCCCTTGCTTCTTGTTGGGATGGTCACCCCTTGGCCCCGGAGTATCGTCTTCTTCAGGAACGACCACTCATCATGGGCACTGAGTTCCCCTGCTCTCGAGAACCCCAGCACCTCTCCCACTAATCTCAACTCGTTGAAGTTGGCTCTCTTGAAGTCTATGGCTACTGCCTTGCTTCAGGCCTTCAACACCCTGCACTGGATGGTGAATTCCAGCAAGCGATGATCGCTATCACCTAGGTGGTCAAGGACCTGGAGTCCCCTTACCGCTCGTCACCTGTGGCCAGGACCAGGTCCAACAGGGCATTTCCTCTGGTGGGACTTTGCACCTCCTGAATTAAGTGGAGGTCCTGTATCTCGGCCAGGAACCTCCTGGAACAGTCCGACCTGGCTGACTGTTCCTCCCAGCTGATGTCCGGGTAATCTAAATCTCCCATGACAACTACATCCTTTGCCTTAAGTGCCCTCTGCAAGCTGGCCTGAAAATTCCTGGTTTAGCTCCTGCCCTTGGTTGAGGGGTCTGTAGTAGACCCCCACCGTTAGATCCGGCCCGCGAGGCCTTTTTTTCCAGCCCGCAGGGCTCCTCAAAAATTTAGAAAATTAATATTGATCTGTCCTTGGTTCCTGGGGGGGGGAAAAAAAAAAAAAAAAAAAAAAAAAAGACAGGAACCAGGGGCAGTAGGACCCAGGGGCAGCCTGGCAGGCTCCCGCAACAGCAGGGCCCGCTTGGCCCCACCCCCCAGTCGGAAGTCCCAGGAGGGGCTTCTGGCCTGGGACCACATGGCTGCACCGGTGCCAGAACCTCAGGTAAAGGAGGGGTGTGTGCGGGAGCCCGGGCAGGGAAGGAGCCCAGGGAAAAAGATGAGTGCAGGGAAAAGCGTACCATTGCCCGCTGCATGGCCTGTGCTCCCTGCTGCAGCTGCTCGTAACCTGTGCGGGGCTGTCCTGAGCAGGCACAGGCAACCCCACGCAGGCTGTGAGTGGCTGCAGCACGGGGTGGGTGAGGGGCTGCTTTTTCTCTGTGCTCAGCACCAGCTTGTCACCCATCCGTGCTGCCAGCCTGGGCCCCATGCCAGCTCTGGTCTTGCCCAATTGGGGCTGCGCCTTGGCAGGAGCAGCTGCAGCCCCCCCCTCTTGCCGCACTGAGCAGTGTTTGCTGCTGCTGCCGCCCGCCTGAAGCTCACACACTAGGCAGTCCAGATGTGGCGGTGGCAAACGCTGCCCAGCACATCAAGTGTGGGAGCTGCAGCTGCTGCCACTGTGGCACAGCCCTGATAGGCGAGCCCGGAGCCAGTGTGGGACCCAGGCTGGCAGCAGGGGTGGGTTACAAGCTGGTGCTGAGTGCGGGGCGGTGGGGTGGCCTGTGCCTGCCTTGCATGCAGGGGGCACCAGCCACGGGGTGGGTAAGGAGCCTCTTTTCCCGCACACTCAGCACCAGTTCCTTCCCTGCTGTGGAGCGTGGGGTACTGGGAGTGAGCAGGCATGGGAGCGTGGGGGACACACCAATGTCCTGGGGCCAGCGCCGGTGGGGCCCAGAGCAAGGCAGAAGGGTTACAGGGTCCTGGCCAGCAGGGACTTTATGGAGCTGGGCCAGCTCCCCTCTCTCCCTGCTGGTGCAGTCCAGCCCGGCTCCACAGACCCCTGCCAGCCTGCGCCCCACTCTGGGTCCCACCAGTGCTGGTCCTGAGACATTGGTCCCAAGACATTGGGACGTTAGTCCCAAGATGGTGACCAGGGAGCGGGGCACCTGTCAAGGGGCGGGGCTACCCATGCAGCCCTTGACAGTTTGCCAAAACTGGGTAAGCAGCCCTCCACCTGAAATAATTGCCCACCCCTGCCCTAGCCTGTCAGCTGAGGGTGCCAAAAAGGAGCCACTTGTAAAGGTAACTTTTTGTGATGTAGCACCCAACTATACACAGCTTAGTCTGAGTCCACAAAACACATGTTTTATAGGTCATCAGCCTGAGAGAGAAGGCTGTAACACTCCATTACATGTTCAGACTCATCTAATTCTTATTGGTGTGTTCAGATCGTGTCCTGTCAACTTTATTCTGAGTTCTCTGAATACATTAATCCTGCAAAGCTGTTTTAGAGGGTTGCATCACAGTTTTGATGCAAGTGATGGAGGAGATATAATACCAGAACACTGCCCAGGAAGTGGCTCCCTTATCCTGGACTTCTCAAAATGAAGCCTAACATCCTGTTCCACCTTTTTTTCTCCCCAGGAGATTTCCTATTCCCATCTCATTCTTGCTACAGGGAGTGATGGGCCGTTCCCTGGGAAGTTTAACCAGATTATTGACATGGAAGCTGCCATTCATACCTATGAAGACATGGTCAAAGAGGTAGGATTGAAGACTTTTGTTGAAAATATGGTGGGAGGTTTGGTTGTATTGTTGCAGTTTTGGTAAGAAACCAGGGAGGATGAATTAAAGAATGTTGGAAGCACCTGAGTTTGGTGTTCAGGGGGAATGAGTGAGCAATAGAGAAATAGTAGCAGAGGTGTCTGGATCTGAGAGGGAGCCAACAGAATGGTGTTACATGGTGTCAGAGCAAGGAGTGGGACCAATGGAAAATATAACCTATACTATTCTGTTTGCCATAATCAAAATATTTTGGGTTGGAGTGCTGGTGAACAGTTCACCATTGATACAGACCTCTTTGTAATGCATAATAGTTTGAGTGACCATACTACCTATTCAAAGCTATGCTTGGACAAGATGGTTGGATCACCTTGGCAAGCAGTTGGGAGCTAGTCCCCAGAGAGAAGGAGAAACCTATGTCCTTGATGTAATAAAGGTTGAAGGACGTTTTTTAAATCAGGACTGATGATCATCCTGGACTTTCCTGGCTGCATAGCAGCCACTTCCCTTTTGTCTTGCAACAGGGCATATTTTCTGGAATATACTTGCATGTCTTACCCCAAAACGAGCTAGGAAAAATTGGGGTGCACGTTATATGTGAGAAAATATCTTATGGCTCTGGGAGCCACAA